CCATTCATTTATTAATATATCTGTTAAATAAAATGTGTTAAAGTAATATACACTGAAATTAAAATTTATTTTCATACTGTTGCTACAACTTATTGTGTGCTCTCTTTGAATTTACCAACACAGGCTCACTGTAAACAAATGCTTCAGCCTACATTTTTGTGAAACCACAAAAATATAATTAAACGTACAGTGATTTTTATTTTATTTTTTTAGTTAAATTGAGTAGTATGGGGCAGTATAACTTTTGTTCATTTTTACACTAATGTTTACAGGGACATATAATTTTTTCACTTTGCACAACACCAAACAAATACCACAAAACAACTTGATGCCTATGATTCGTAATCAAATATGTTTGCCTCGCCTGTGTACCTTCATATGGACAACTTTTCTGCTGTGGTCAGTTTGCTCGGTTGCTTACATTGTACGCTGTTGTACTTCTGATGCAGAACGCTCTGGTTTGAGACTGGCGAAGCGCTATTTCACAAAAGAGAGAAAAGTAATGTAAAATCAAGATAAATCAATGTAGTTACAGTGCACTTTTGTCTTAAGTTTACTTTTAAAAAGCACTTAGGACTCAGGGTTTAGTGAAGGCTTTAGATCAGTCATTAACTAGGTGATCTGTATGATAAGCCTCACCTACTCGTGTATGTGTACAAGAAGGATGTGTATCTGAAAAGTACAACAAATAATACCCTAAGTAACATATTGCAGATTTGCAATAATGTAGACAGCACCTTCTGTAGTGCAGTGTTTTCCAACCCTGTTCCTGGAGGCACACCAACAGTACATATTTTGGAGGTCTCCCTTATCTGACACATTCATTTCAGGTTTTAGAGTCTCTTCTAATGTTCTGTTAAGTTGATTTTAGTCTATATGATTAGAAAGAGTTTGAAAACGTGTACTGTTGGTGTGCCTTCTAGAAAATGGTTGGGAAACACTCCTCTAGTGGATTTGTCATCAGAAATGTGCCAAAAATTTTACTCAGAGGAACATATTTAAAGTGGCACGTATTTTCAATGATCCTAGGCTGAAATGTACAATTCGGGAACACATTGACATATTTTGTTCTGATCAATGATTTATTACATTTTTCAGATTTTTAGCAGCCTTTAAAAAGTCTTAAATTTATCTTCATAAAGAAATGTTCAGAATGTTCAGCTCATTTGGCCTTAAAAAGTCAGCCGATTTAAAATCCCAATAATAAAAAGAGCAAACTTAACTGAATCATATGGTTCAGTTCTCTTCCAGATCTCTGTTTTTGTTTCCTTATCTCTTTCTCTCTTTCTCTTTTCCCTCGCTGGAGTATTTGGAGTGTGTGGGTGACAGTGCCTGTTCAGCCTGTCTGAAGTTTGCCTGTTGTGTTTTGGCCGGAGATGCTAGACTTAAAGTGCAGATTCTTAAATAGATTACTGTGAACCTGAGAGACTTGCTGCATCATTTCCTGTAAGCATAAGGCTAAAACCTGCTCTAAGCTTTCGGGATCAGAAATATTCAGACCGTAGAGAAGCACAGCTCAAACATACACAGCCCATGATATAAAGCGTTAACCTGCGGCAGGAATGAAGCTGCCCCTGCCATGACCTGGATATGTCACAGTGCAGAGGTGCCAGGGGCATTACTGGTGTGGACAGAGGGACAATACTGTCCTGCACAGCACATCATTTGCATACTAGTGGTTAGCTTTGACTCAGATTGGCTGCTGATAGGTTGCAACATTTATAAATTGAGTGTATACTGCATTTAAGTACCAATGTAAACTATACATTTAATATTTTTTTAGGTATACATTTGTGTAGTATAAATTCTTTTGATATTCAATGTCCACCAGCCTATCTAATACCCTAATTTCATGCTTAATATTTCATACAATCATTATGTTGCATTGAAAAATGTAAAATGTTTTTTTTCAGTCTTCAGTGTTTAATGATTTTTCAAAAAAATAATTCTTATATACTGATTTAGTGCTTAAGAAACACTTCATTATTGTGAGACACTTTATTATTGTCAGTGGGGAGGCCAAATATTATTGTTAAAACATTCATCAATATTTTTCACGATTCTTTGAATTACAGAAAAATTCATACATATAAGAATAATGTACAGTAATTAAAATATATATAACTATATTTTTACATTTTAAAATATTAAATAAATATTTGATGTGTATAGATTTGTTCATTTTAAATAAAACTTTAGTTTTAATTTAGTTAGTTTGTTTTATTTAAAAATGAAATCTTTTTGAAATCAGTTAAAATAATGATTTGTTTTGTCTTGTTTTTCATGTTTGCGTGTAACACAGGAAACTGAACCTGCTGTAAACGATACGCCAGCATAAATTGTATGCTGGTATAACAGATTTGGCAGTCTAACTGGTTAACCAGCATTGCTGTAATTGCTGCAGACGTTACTTAGACTAAATACAGAAATAAAATGAAATTTCCAATATAGTAGCATAACCAAAGTCCATTGTTTTTACAGTGAATTATTACAGTACAAAGGAAGAAATTGTTTCAGTCCACTCAACTATAGGATCACATTAAATAGTGGTAACACTTTATAATAACTACACACTATGAATCATCTTTTAAGCATCAGCAAATAGTCAAATTATTATTTGTTAAGGAATAACTCTATATTAAGAGACGTTAGTAAGCAGTTTGTAACTGCAGATACAAATGCTTTATTCTTGACTTATAAGCACATTTAAAATGTGCCTAATGAATGTTCTTTATACTTTACTAATTTATTTTTCATGACTAAATTAAGTATCGCATTATTTACAAATCATTTCTATTTAAGAGTAGTTAGGGGTTTTAAGATCATTCAGAATGCACATGTAAATGTTTAATAAGCTATTCAAATCAATTCAAATAATTTATATATTATTATTCTGGCATTTACTAATAGTTTACTTGATTTTTAATAAATGCTTTATTTACTCAACTTTATCCAGTTTTGTAATCTAAAGTGATTATTTATGCTTTATAAATCCTTAGTATGAGTATTAGTATCATTGCTGAATAACAGGAGTCAATATATATCATAAAACTATGAAAAAAACAACTGTAAAATAATAGTTTAACGATATATATGAGACAACATATCAATGTTATTTAGTGATGTTTAAACTACAGTAATTTTGTTTTGGTTAAGATTGCAAAGATTTATTTTCAATTTGACAGTTTCATTTGTGTCTTTAGAAAGAAATGAGTCGTTTGTTTTCTTTTTTTCCTGTTTAGAGTTTAACTGAGACGTTACTTTTCATTTATAACGGATTTATAAAGCATGACTAGTCCTTACTTCAGATTAGGTCACAAAACTGAATGACGTTAAGTTAATAAAGCACTTATTAACATACAAATGAACTATTAATGTATGCCTGAATAATAAGATTAATCATTTACTAACTCATTCTCAGTAATCTTTAAAAACCTTCTTTCAAATAACTGGTTTATAAATGGTGCAATACTTAATTTTGTAATAAAAAATAACAATTAATAAAGTATGAAAATACAACCATTAAACACGTGATTATAAGTCAAGAATAGAGCATTTTTATCTGTAGTTGTAAACAGCTTACAGACATGTATTAATGTACATGAGTTAATGTTTAATAGATAATGAATTCACTATTTGCTCATGCTTAATAAATGATTCCGTTTTTATAAAGTGTTACCTAAATTAGTAATTTGCCAGTTTAACATGTGTATTAATTTCTCTATTAATCTGTGGGGTCTTAAAAGTTGATAAATCAATGTAAAAAAAAAATTAAGGCACTTAAAACATATTAAAAAGTCTATTTTGCAAGGTATGCAATGTATGGTTGTATGCTAAAGTTCGCCTAAATTAACAGTGCGAATATCAGAATGATGTGTAGTTTATGAAATCAATAAAATCCTGCTAGATTCGACATCATGCTGCTTTGTTTACTGTTGTAACTAAGGCAAAACCTATATTTCTGCAGTTCATTATGCGTCAACCTGCCGAGTTAGCTAAATTTAATAGATTTTTATTCAGAGTATGATTAATGTTTTAGTTTTGGATTAGTTTCTTACATTAATATTTTTGTAAATACTGTAAAATCTCGCCAGTGTTTCCAATTGAAGCTGGAAGTTGTTATAAGGTCTAAAAATGTATGGAAAGAGTCTTTTAAAAGGTCTTAAAAGGTCTTGAATTTCACTCTCTGATTCCTGTATATCAAGGGTGTCCAAATTTGGTCCTGAAGGGCCGGTGTCTTTCTGATTTTAGCTCCTACATGCTTCGACACACCTGCCTGGAGGTTTCTAGTAAACCTAGTTAGAGCTTGATTAGCTTGTTCAGGTGTTATTGATTAGGGTTGGAGCTAAACTCTCCAGGACACTGGCCCTCCAGGACCGAGTGTGGACACCCCTGCTGTATATACTTGGATACACTCTGGTTTGCCGTTTGTTCAAACTACTTATTTAAAATGAGCCGAAAAAACACATTTTTGTTTAGTTTTTTGAGAACAACTTAATTGTTTTAGGTTCAGTCCACTTAAAACTAATAAGGTAACTTAATTCCGTTATGTTGTCTCCACACAAGTCGACTGTATGGAACCCAGCATTTTTTACAGTGTAGAATTAATCTGCTTGTATTGTGAACAGAGTGTTGTTGTAGTAATCTGTGTGCAGTGCAACGAAAATAGAAACTACTGTAATGCGTGGCTTTTTAACCACCCGTAACATACACTCCCCTTTTGTTTTGACCGTGGAGCACACAATTTGGCAATCAATTCAAACACTAAGAATTATGTAATAATAACAGCAGCAATAAACAAGCACTCATGGTGCGAAAGTACCACTTTTTGTTAACCGCTTACAGCTCAGGCCTTGAATTGATCTCATGGCTGTGTGCGTATATGTGTGGATGTTCAGCGTTGACTCTTGACATGAAGCAGGATTTCTGTCACAGCAGATAAATGTCTGTCTGATTCTCACCGTTTATCTCATCTGTCTCTCTCTTCTTCCTTCTTTCAGTCTGCTGCTTTGTGGTGCACAAGCGTTGCCATGAATTCGTCACCTTCTCCTGCCCGGGAGCAGATAAGGGTCCCGCATCAGATGTGAGTACAGAAATCTCCTTTTTTTCCCTTCCCTCCCTTCCTTCCTTCCTCCTTGTTCTTCTCTCCATCTTCTCTTCATCAGTCCCCCCAGTGAGAGAGCAGAGAAAGGAGGTGGGCATAAGTTGGCCAATTGAATCAGTGCCTGTGTCACAGAGGAAGTGTGCGCGACAGCTGCGGTGACGATAACCCTCTCCGTTTCAGATTTCCTCCTGGAGTTGTCTTCTTCGCTCACTTTGTCTCGAGCCCCTGAGTTATACAAGCATTTAAATCAACAAATTACCCGGTTTATGGTGACAGCTACAGGAAGCGCATGCACACAGGGGACCAGAGCTCTTTTTTTTAGTGATTGTGGATGTGAGTGAGCGTACAATGCCAGCTCAATCACATCATTACAATTACTACACACGGGAACAGGAGGCAGAGTGAATGGCACTGTGCAGTTTTGTGGGAAATGGCTTTGCTCTTTGAATTCATGCAATTATGGAAAATGCATCGCTGCTTCACTCACGGCTGCAATTGTGTCAAAACTTTCATTTCTCATAAGGGTTTATAATAATATAAAAAAAATTCTAGCTTTGAACTGAAATCTCACTGTAGAGCATTAGCAAGTGATTGTTTTTAAAGCTGTATTTTTAATAAACAAGTGTATTTTACATTAATTTATTTTAAAAAGGAGGAAAAAAGAGACAATCTGCTCTGAGACGATTCACAACCTTACTGAATTTTATTCTAAGTAATTGACAGTCCCCAAAAATTATTTTGATGCATAAATAAGTGTACATAAACAACGTTAGGATGGTTTCCTTTATACCCTAAGTGATTTTATTGTATGAAAATATGTTTATTTTGTATTACAGTATGTATTGCATCAGGTTATTTTTATAACTAATATCTACTCTCACCGGCCACTTTATTAGGTACACCTTACTAGTACCAGGTTGGACCCCCTTTTACCTTCAGAACTGCCTTAATCCTTCGTGGCATAGATTCAACAAGATACTGGAAATAGTCCTCAGAGATTTTGGCCATATTAACATGATAGCATCATTTAGTTGCTGCAGATTTGTCGGCTGCACATCCATGATGCGAATCTCCCGTTCCACCACATCCCAAAGGTGGTCTATTGGATTGAGATCTGGTAACTATGGAGGACATTTGAGTACAGTGAACTCATAGTCATGTTAAGAAACCAGTCAGAGATGACTTTTTATAACAGGGCACATTTTCTTAGCAGAAAACAGGCAACGTTTTTCCAATCTTTTATTGTCCAGTTTTGGTGAGCCTGTGTGAATTGTAGTCTCAGTTTCCTGTTCTTAGCTGACAGGAGTTGCACCTGGTGTGGTCTGCTGCTGTAGCCCGTCTGCCTCAAGGTTTGACATGTTGTGCATTCAGAGATGCTCTTCTGCATAGCTCGGTTGTAACGAGTGGTTATTTGAGTTACTGTTGCCTTTCTGTCAGCTCGAACCAGTCAAACCAGTCTGGTCATTCTCCTCTGACCTCATCAACAAGGCATTTGCACTCACAGAACTGCCACTCACTGGATATTTTCTCTTTTTCAGACCATTCTATGTAAACCATAGAGATGGTTCAGCGTGAAAATCCCAGTAGATCAGCAGGTTCTGAAATTCTCAGACCACCCCTTCTGGCACCAACAACCATGCCACTTTCAAAGTCACTTAATCTTCTAATCACCTTTCTTCCCCATTTTGATGCTCGGTTAAACTTCAGCAGATCATCTTGACCATGTCTACATGCCTAAATGTATTGAGTTGCTGCCATGTGATTGGCTAATTAGACATTTACATTATTAAGCAGCTGGACAGGTGTACCTAATAAAGCAGCCAGTATGTGTAAGTAACATTAGCATTTTTAAATAGGAAAAAAGAAGAGGTTTGCTATTAGCCAGTCTTTTGATGTTCTTTGAAACTAAATTTAATTTGAAGCTTAGAAATGTGTTTTTAAGTTTGACCTTTGATTTTGTTGCAACCTGACAAAATCAATGTCAAACCAGCATCACAATGGGTGTGGAATGAAAACAAATGATACTTATATGATATTGATAAATACATTGAGACAATGTGGTGGTGCAGTGGGTAGCACATTCGCCTCAGCAAAAAGGTCGCTGGTTTAAGCCTGGTCTGAGTCAGTTGGCATTTCTGTGTTTGCATGTTCCCCCCGTGTTCGCGTGGGTTTCCTCGGGGTGCTCCGGTTTCCCCCACAAGTCCAAAAACATGTGGTACAGGTGAATTGGGTGAGCTAAAATTGACCGTAGTGAATGAATGGATAGATTGATTAGTTGACTACCAATTTGAAGCATTGATGCTTCTCGTATAAAACATTGATACAAAATGAAGAGAACATGTATCACAATTAGATATAACTCTTGTCACCCACACACTCCCAATGCTGCAGTAAAGGAAAAGAGAGAGAGATAAAGAAACAAAACAGAGATCTGGAAGAGAACTGAACCATTGAATTCAGTTAAGTTTGCTCTTTTTATTATTGGTATCTTAAATTGGCAGGGATTTAAGGCCAACTGAGATAAACATCTAACCAGCACATTTTAAGATTTTACAGATTTTCTGAGCTAAATTTAAGACTTTTTAAAACCTTGGAAAAATCATATAAGTGTAAAAGCTTATTGAAGAGAGCACAATAAATCAATATGTTCCCAAAATGTAAATCTCAGCTCAGGCTCATTTAAATATGTGCCTGAGGCTTTATTTTTGTAAATTCCTTTGCAAGACGAATTTTACTAATATTCAGTGAATTTTTTGTAATCTTTGACAATAAGTAATAAATGATTCTAGTAATTGAAAGTATAGCTATTTTTAAAAAGCTGAAAAACATATTGACATTGGCAGTGTTGGGCAGTAGCGTTGCTACAAGTAGTGATGCTACTAGCTTAATTATATTTCTCAGTAGCATGGCGGTACTGTTGCTACTTTGCAGTACTGCCCACACAATCTATATTTACCGATCGCGGATCAATAAATGACGGCATCGACATTCACAGAGCTGTGAGGCCGGTGTCTAGCCGATCAAAGTAAATCCATATGATGGCGAGAATAACGATTTTTTCCTCTTCCTGTTTCACAGAGTTCGACAACAAAGTTTTTGGTGCGTTACTGCCACCTCTGGTGAAACTTGCTTGATGGAAAGATCACTGAGGGAGAGGAGTTAATTCTGAAAATGTACATATATATATATATATATATATATATATACACTATAATGCTTATTCCAAAATAGTATAAAATGCTGTACTTAAAATACTATATTTTAAATGTGTAACACCTGGTTTCATTGGATTTTTTGTTTTAGCTGTTACATACTATAATGTGTTTCTATTTAGTACAGTATATTATTTACAGTAAATAACTATTATGCCTCGTGTTTCATTGACAGCTTTATTGATCACTAAGATATGATTGTCTTGGATTTAAGTTGCTTCGATTTAAAAATGAAAATTGCAAAAATAGCTTAGATGTAGCTAAGCTTCTTTTGCCATGTAGCTTTTAGCTTAACTTGCTACATTTCCCAGGGGGTAGCTTAAGCTACATTTTAAGTAGAGTAGCTAATAGCTTAGCTCTTTACATTTTTCAAGTATCTTGCCCAACACTGGACATTGGTGATATTGCTGCTTTTTCAGTTCTAAGAGCAGTCAGGTATGATTCCAGCTGTATGTTCATGCAAGTCTGGTTCGGCATGGCATGATTACAAGCCATTCTCACACCTTCTCAGTTGTTGCTAAATGGAACGCAACTCAGTTTTCCTGTACAGGGTTGTGGAAGTGCATCTGCTGCGTAAAAAACATTTGCTGGAATAGTTGTTGGTTCATTCCACTGTGGCGACTCCGGATAAATAAGGCACTAAGTCGAAGGAAAATTACTGAACGAAGGAATACAGCTCAAACTGGAAGTCAATGGGAATTATTTATATTATTAATCAAATTACCCATTACAATTTTATTAATATATACCCAAGCTCTAAACCTACCCCTCACTCTAAAGTAAAAATAGTAATTGTTGTTGTTCTGTCATGATAACCATGCATAAATATTTGCAGCTGTATTCTTAATAGAGAGTACCCAACTTTCTAGACAGTGTGATCATCAATGTACATCACCACAGTGTTGCTTGGCTGCCAGTTTCTGCCAAGCATGCTATTTTTTTTTCTCTGTTATTCAAAAAAGTAAATATCAGAAAAAAAGGTGTACCCAAAATAGAAATGTCTGATCCTTCATATTGCTTACATTATACTTGCATTACCAAGGCAACAACTGACGCATTTGTATTACACCCCAGAGAGCTCCATTATCAGCACCAGCATGAAAAAACACACTATATATGTGCAGACTGGCCTGAAATGGAAGGGTTAAGCAAACAGAACCATTCGGCCCGATATTGGAAAAGCGACTCAAATGTAACTGCAGTTATAGAATCATCCACATAAATATCACCTCACAGACCTTCATTTATGAGTTTGAACACATTGCCTTGAGCTTTGAGGCTGACTGTAATCATTCAGCTACTTGGAAGTGCCCTGTGGAGTCTTGTACTTTTAAGCATGATAGTCCCAGTGCAGTCTGACAGCTCTCTCGAAACCCTTCCCTCAGTGTGACGCACCTTCACCTCTCAGTGGAGCACCGTTCAAGTCCCGGGTCAGCTCCCTTGCCTAGAAATTTAACATATTTACACAGGCGACGTGGCACAGCTGGCAGACACTCCACAAAGGGATTTAGAGCGATCTGAAATGAAGGACGGTGGTGGGATGTCACTAACACATTTCCACACCTCAATCCAGATTAGCACTCTGGCACGGTCCCACCACTTCTCTAAGAAGCCTCACCATTCATCTCATTCATACGTGGCCTTTTATCCTCCTCCACAGTCACGGCGGAGAGGTCTGTGTTTAATTCGGTTTCCATGTTTGTCCTCCACCAGTCTAGAAGTGCCGCCAAAACCCGCATCTGCTCTAGACGTCAGTAAACTAGGTGT